GAGCCAAAAGAGGCCTCAGAGACCACATAGTCCATATACTCCCTCATTTTACAGAGGACGAATCTGAGGCCCAGAGTGGCTAGGTGACTTGACCAGAGTCATACAGCTAATAAGTAGCAGAACTAGGATTAGAATTTGGGGTGCTCTGATGCCAAGGCCAGTGCTTCTTCCTCTGTGCCACAATGAGGCAAGATTTGAACCCATTTTTGACTCTAGACAGACCCACTACTTTTTCTTTTTTTTTCCTTTTTTTTGGTTCCCTCCCCCCCCCCCACTACTTTTTCTATACTGCCAAGATGGTCTTGATGGTGAAACTTAGAGATGTTGGTGAGAAGTCTGGATGCAGTGGGGTTGGTGCCAGCCCTTATAGGGAAATTCTCTCTGGATACCATATGCAGAGTGGGCCCTTGCAAAAATTAGAAAGGTGATTTTGTGTTCTCTTTATTGAAGACCGACAGTACTCGTAAGACTAGAGGTCATGGGGTCATAGACTTGGAGCCAGAAGAGATCCTAAGAAGCCATCCATTCCAAACTCCTCCTTTTATAAATGAAGACAGTGAGGCACAAATTGGCTAAGTGACTTAGCCAGGGTCACACAGTAAGTGTTATGTGTCTGAGGTCGAATTTGAACTCAGGTCCTCCTGACTCAGGGTCACACACCTAATAAGTATCTGAAGTGAGATTTTAAAGGTTCTTCTGACTTCAAGTCCAGCAGCCCATCCACTACTACATGTTGTCCCTCAAAAAAAAAAAATTAGTGCCTGGCCATGAGGAAAAACTGAGAAAATATGCCTCTATCCTTTTTTCTTTTCTTTCTTTCTTTCTTTTTTTTTTTGTTTACAGAGGTGAGTGACAGAGGTTATAGTATGGTACATATATTGCCAACTCAGTTGATAAGTTGATTGATGAACTGATTTTTTAAAATCTTTTTTAATTGAATATTACAAGGAATAGCTAAATTGGGTGGTGGGATATGTTCAGAAAAGGTGATACAAAAAACAAAAAAATCAAGAAAAATGAGATTAAAAAACAAAGACTAAGCCTCCAAAACACCAAAAAACAAGCAGACAAACAAAACCTCAAAGATTATAATGTTGCAGATTTGAGGGCTGGAAGGGACCTCAAAGGTCATCTAGTATAATCACTTTCCCGCTCCCTGAATTTTACAGATGAGAAAAGGTCACAGAAAGAAAATGACTTGTCCAAAGTTTCCCATGTAGCAGAAGCAGGAATAATACCCAGGTCTTCTGATTCTAAATTCATTCCAGTTTCCACTCTCCTTTCTCCCCTTCTCGTGATTTCTCCCACCCCCAACTAGAGGCACCAGTGTTCCCATACCACCCAGGGCCTCCAACTCTTATATCCCTAAGGAGGTCTATCTCGTCTGTCCATACTTCATGCCTTGAAGCTACAAAGAGCACATCAGTTTATAGGATTGATAAAGGACCTTGGAGATCATCCAATATAACCCTCCAATTTTTACAGATGAGGAAACTGAGACTGCCAAAAAAAAAGTCAAAAGAAAGTCAAAGGAGTTTGACCAAGGTCACACAGGTATTAAGTAGCAGAGCCCAGATTTGAACCCAGATGTTTTGGCTCCCAAAGCTGTGCTAGTTCCTGTACTTCTCCCCTCTGTAATCATTTCCCTCCTTCCCTTCTAGATGGCATTCAGTCAATATAATGGAAAAAGCATGGGAATGGACATGAGGGCACCTGGATTCCAGCTTCAACACTGCCCCCAGATATAGAATCTTGAGCAAGTCTCTTTCCTGCTATCCTGTTTCCTCAACTATGAAACTGGGGGCATGTTAATGATCTCTAGTAATAGAACATTAGCAGAGGCTTGACTGAGCCATAGCTGGCTAATCTGGTCCGGTGGACACAACAGTGTTATTGTTTTAATATAAGAGCTAACACCCTCCTTACACCTTGAGATCCCTCCCTCATGGCACCGATGCATTTCATGGGGACTCCACCATGCCAGGACCCAAATAGTGAGAGTTTGAGGCAATGCATCAGGGCATTGAGGAGGAAGATGACCCTTCTTAACTCACAGAGGAAAGGCTGCTCCAGAGATCAGAAGGTCACAGCATCCCGGAGCTTCAAAGGATGTGTGTCCAAGCCCCTCACAGTGCAGAGGAAGAAACTGAGATGACCCAGCTATGATTCTGACCCAGGACCCCCAACTACTCCCCTTCCTCCAGAGTATTTTTAGCCCTTTTGAGGCTCTCTGCTTACAAGCTCCTGAGAAGCTGACTCAGCCAGCTTAGGCCCATGGTCCAGGGCAAAAGGCCATATGTTCTTACTCAGCAAAGAGAATGGAAGAGGTCAGTTCTCTGCCTAGGAAGCTCCATTTGGTGAGAGAAAACTTCCCAAGAGGGAGAATAAGTTCCCTCCCAAGTCAATGGGAGAAAATCAAACTTTCCACCCCAGACCTCCCCACCCCCATTCTCCCCTAATGAGCAGAGCTAAGGTCATATCTCTGGGTGGGGCTGGGAGTTTTTAGGAGAGGAAAATGAAACAGCAATTTGGGGTTGCTATTGTTTTGTTTAAACAAACCATTAACTCAACTGGGCTAAGAAGAGCTGAGCTGGGGGAGAGTGGAGAGCTGAAGAATCCTGGATTTGGGGTCTAAGGACCTAGGTTCACATCTCCAGCATGGCTAATGAAGAGAGGGAGGATAATGAATTCAATGTTATTCAACAAACATTCTATTTCTACCCTATGCAAGGCACTGTGATAGGTACAGAATAAGCAAAAAATGAAAAACAACACAGGTAGAGAGATCCCTGCTGAGGAAGGGTGTTTGGGGTTAGAGTGAGTACCAGACACAGTGCTTAAGAAGAAGTAAGGCCTTGTTGAGGTGAGACTCGAGGCAGTGGTAGAGTTGGGGGATTCGACCTGCAGGGTGGAGGTGAGCAGCATCAGTCAAACTGCTGGTCACAGTCTATGAAAATGAGCTGGGTGGGCACAGCCCATTGGCCTCCTCCCAAACAGCTGTGTTGAGTCCCTGGTGTGGAAATATAAGTTGGTAGGGGCTGTTCCTCAATGGGAAAGGAGCAAGGAGGCTGAGGGAAGACACAGTTGATCAATGCATAAAGCGACGAGAGTGGAGAAAGAAGCAAAAGAAGGCAGGCTTCTCCTTGTAGACCCTCACCCTCAGCCTCACCCACTTGCCCCCACCAGCACCCAAGTCCTGAAGATGTCAGAGGACCAACTCGGGAAAAATTCAAGGCTTGGTGGTAAAAAATGAAGGGCACTGGGAAATGGGAGCATGGCCTTTAGGACAGGCATGAAATTGATCCTGAAGGGCATAATAGGGTGATGGAAAGTTCTGCAGGCATAGACTCGGGAGAGACCTGAGTTGTGATCTCATCTCTGACATCCTCTAGTTATGTAACCATCAACAATTCACCTAACCTCCCTGAGCCTCGGTTTCTTCTTCTGTAAAATGGGGATAACAGCCCAACAGCAGAATCAGCCTCACTGGGTTTGTTAATGAGGATCAATCGAAATAACACCCGTGAAGTATGTTGTAAACTTTCAGGATTTTATAAATGTCAGCTCTCAGCTGGGATATCGAGGATCTTAGCCGGGCTTCAGATTTAAAATCACAAGCATGGGAGCTAGACCTTGTGTGGATTTTCCCCAAGAGGTGGGGGTGAAATTCCCACCCCCCTCATGGCCTCCCCTCTGTCCTGACTCCCTCACCCAAGGAAAAGGACAGCTGAATGGGGTTGGTGGCCAGGGCACAGTTAGGTGCTGAGTGAACCAGTTAGGATATGTCCTTCATCATCACGATTAACGTTATGAAAACCTACAGTTGGGGGCCACAGGGATCCCCTAGCATCACCCTGGGTATTGGCACCGGTGAGCCTAGGGCCCTAGCTCCGGTCCTTTCATCTGAGCATCTCCCAGCCCTAAACTAACAGTAATTAACACCGCACGCCCATCTCTTCATTATCCCACAGACTGGGGAGGCGGGAGGGGAGGAAGGGGAGAACTTGACTTTAGCAAGCCCAGAGGAGGGCACAGGGCCGCCTGGGGGTCATTAGCTGAATCAGCACCGCAAAAGAAGCCCTCATTGCATCAGGCTCCTCTGGCCCATCCCACCCTCCTTTTTCCCTTTCACTGTCTGTAGATTAGACAGCGACCAGCCAAGCCCTCTGAACGCTCTCAGAGGAGATGACTAAAGAACGTTTTCCTGCCCTTCTGCAGGACCACTTCATTCCATCAGAACCTAAAACTTTCATTCCACTTAGAGCCTAAAAACTGAGCCACTCATGCCCATTTTAGAACTCTAGGACTGGAGGAGGTCAGCTTACGGACAGGAATCTGAGACACAAAAAGGTTGAGGTGACTTGCCTGAGATTATAGAGGTAATAATGAAACAGGTATTTGAACCCAGGTGTGGGCAAGTCACTTAAAGGAGCAGCTGGGTGGTATGGTAGAGAGAGTGCCAGACCTGGACTCAGGAGGACCTGAGTTCAAATCCAGCGCAGATGTAATGTGATCCTAGGCAAATTTTACCCTGTTTGCCTCAGATTCTCACCTGAGGCTCATAAAATGAGCTGGAGAAGGAAATAGCAAACTACTCCAGGATCTTTGCCAAGAAAACCCTGAGTGGGGTCACAAACAGTCAGACAGGACTGAAATAACTGAACAACCACGGATCTGAATCCAATGCCTTTTCTACTAGAATACACTTCCAGCTCTCTGCAGTCCCATAGGTTTGGAGAAACTGAGACAGGAAATGAATCCTTGGATTCCATGAGGTCCTCCAGGGATCAGGCAGATGGCTAGATTCCACGTCCTCCCTTGGGCATCCATCCAAGGGCCTAATTTGGGCCCTGCCAGTCAATACAGCTTTCCATACCATCTGCCTCACCCCCACCTCCTGACCAATGACAGACTTTCAAAGGAAAAGGGGGCCAGCCTGGGGTTTCCTGCTACTTTCCACACCCAGCCCATGTAACCCACATGTCTTTCTGTTGTTTTAGGGTACTAGCCTCAAGACTGGGAACATACGTGGCTATGAGCTGACTGGTAAGTAAACCACTCCAGACTCTCCATCTTCAGTTTCAATCCATCAAACAATAAGCATCCATTGAGCACCTACTACATGCAAGGCACTGGAGTGGGCACTGGGGATTTGAGTACAGAAAATGAAACAATCCTTTCTCAAACAGAGCTCACATTCTTGTTTCTTCATTTATAAGATGAGGAGCTAGGACTAGCTGGCTTCCAGATGACCCAGCTACTTTGGGGTGCTGAAGGGTGGCTCAGAGAGCCCCCAGAAGGGAGGTCTGATGAATCTGAGGGTAAGGCCGACATTCATTCATTTTATCAATATTTACTGAGCCTCTGCTATGTGCGGGATCCTACTTGAAAAATGCTATTTGACTGTAGGCATCGTCTCAGTTTCCTCATATGTAAAATGAGAATATTGATAGTTGTACTGCTGACCTCACAGGGCTTTCAGAATTGTTAAGGACTATAGAGATGTACACTATTATTATCATTGCAAAATTATCCTTGCCCTCAAGAAGCTTACAATCTAATAGGAAACTGAAGACATATACAGTTGGGCACCTGCATCCCACTGTCATCTCCCTCAGCCTTTGACCTTGCTCCTTAGCTATTTCCACCCAGTGCCCCTAAAATCTGCTTTCCTCTCCCCTCTCTCTAATGCCTTCACATCCCCTCAGTCTGAATGTGCCCTTGGCACTGACAGCACTCCCAGGTCGGCCCAGATTTCCCAACCTCATCTCTCCAGGGAAGTAAACTAGAACGTACCCAGAATGCATGGGGTCATGAAGTGAACAAAGCAGGCAAAGGCTCCCCAACTCACCACGAGAAGGGGAATTCTGCTGAAGAGTACTGGGATGGGAGGCTCAGATTGCAGGTGGGGGAAGTCCTGGAGGACAGAAGCCCTTGTTTCTTGTTTCCAAGTTCCCAATGTCATTTCCCATGACACACAGCCATTCCTAATGACACATGCTTAAATTCACCATGTCTGCATACCTAGACATTGATTTATGAGTATGAGTGTGCACACGTGTGCACACGCGTACGCACACACACACACACAGGTGTCTATCAACTTAGACACAGACCCACTTCACTATTATAATAATAATGTTAATAGTAACCCTAAGCATAAAAAAAAAGCAGAATCCTTTCCATCCATACTATATATGCCAATATATAGACTAGTATGTACCATTATAAAGGCAGCTTAATGGCAAAGTGGATAGAGCACCGGACCTGGAATCAGGAACTCCTGAGTTCAAATCCTGATTCAGACACTTACTAGTTGTGTGACCCTGGGTAAGTCACCTCTCTGAGCCTCAGTTTCCCCATTTATAAAATAGGGATAATAACACCTACTTCAGAGGGTTGCTTCGAAAATCAAATGAAGGTCACATATGTAAAGCAGTTTGCAAACCTTTGAGTGCTATGTAAATGCTAGCTGTTATTATCTGAATTCCATTTAACGAAGATGAGACTGAAATGACAACATTAAGAATAATAATAGCTATCATTTATGTAAGCGCTTTAATTACAAAGGCCTTTATAGCCAATACCTCATTTGATCCTTACAACACTGGAGGGCAGATGCTGTTATTGTCTCCGTTTTACAGATCAGGAAAGTGAAGAGTATAAGGTATGAATTTCTAGCCTTCTCAATGGGTAGAGGAAGGGATGGCAGGAGGGAGAGAATTTGGAACTGAAAGTAATAATAAAAAAAAATTTTTAATTTAAGAAAAAAGAATAAGGAACTTTCTCAGAGTCACGCAGATAGTAAGTTGTCAGGATCTGAACCCAGGTCTTCCTGACTCCAAGTCTAGCATACTATTCGCACGCGCGCACACACACACACACTCAGAAATCCTGAGGAAGGATGTCAATAGACAGGGCTGCTCCTCCTCTTAGTTGCAGGCCCTCTGAGCCTCCCAAAGGACAACTTCCAAGCCTCCTTCCAAGACAAGAAGCTTCTCTTTGACTTGTGAACTAGCTTAGTGGGGGAGGTGAGGCAAAAGTGGTTATGAAGACCAGGCCTTTGCCTCAGACTCCTTGCATCATTAATCCCTTCTTCTCTCCCATTTTCCTCCTCCAAATTATTTTCCAGAATTTTCTGGCTAAAATAAAAAATGGTACCAAAGAACCGTCAGTGCCTACTCTAGGCCTCAGTTTCCCCGTCTGGAAGAGGGGTCCAGGGAGGGCTCTTGGCTGAAGCCTAACTCTCTCCTGCAGAAGAAAGAGGAGGGGGAAGGAGGCTATGATGAGGTCTGCTAAACTCATCTGAGACTGAAGTTCACACAGTCTGGAGGGGTGGGGAGAGACCCTTCTCCTCTACCAAACCTGACTCCTGAGAAGGAAGAAGGGAAATGGCCCAGAATTTGCTCTCTCTCCTCCGAAAGGTCCTTGGTAGGCTCCCCTGCCACAGCCCAGGCCACCACTCCCACTGGGAGAGCTTCCATGAGCAAGCCTTTGAATTGAATCCAGCCCACCCCCATAACCACTTCCAGATCCTTAGGCCCATCCAAGAAACTGGCTCCCCTGGGAACTTAGTTCATGAGGAAATTGCTGCAAAAAGAAAGGGGGGGGGGGATGCTGCTAAACATATAAAAAAAAAAAGTAGAAAAATGAGCCTTCTTCCTGAGCTGAAAGACTGTCATAGGGCAGAGCAACAAAACAGGGACCTCCCATCCCTCTCCCTTAGGGCCTGATCCTTACCCCGATCCTGGCCCTCCCACCTTCACCAGATCATCAAAGATAACAAGGAGCTTTCGGGTACTGATGCTGGAATTCAGGATGTTCTCTGTGCCTGGAATGTGCCCCGCACACTCCCATTTAAATCCTACCACTCCCTAAAAAACCCCTCTGTGACATGCTCCAATGCTACCTCTCTGATGAAGCCTTTGCTGACCCTGGACCTTCATGATTTATCAGCATGTCCCAGCCTCTCTCCCCCACAATCCCCATATCATGTAGTACCACAAGTCAGGAGGACTTCGGTTTAAATCCTAAATCTTTCCTCAAAGAGGGACTTATTAGCTGTGCAGCCCTTTGCAAGACACTTAACCTCTATGTGCCTCAGTTTTCCCTCTGTAAAATGGAGATAGTGCCGAGCTAAAGCACTCACAGTGCTGTTGTGAGTATCTAACGAGATCATGTATGTGATGGGGCGTGGCCAACTTTAACGCAAATATATAAATATCAGCTAGCATGGTTAGTATTGCTCAACTGTAAGGTACATGAGGGCACAGACTGTGTTTTCTTATTACCTAAACTTTGAATCTCCCCCAGTCTCTAGCACAGGGCTCTCTGTACACGGGGGTTTAGTAATTGTTTGGTGAGTAAACAAATATTTGTTACAGTGTGAAGACCTCAGTCTTGGGAGTCAGAGGATCTGAGTTTGAATCCCAGCCCTGTCTCCTATTGTGAAACCTTAGGCAAGTCACACGGTAACCTATCCAGACCTCAGTTTCCTCTTCTGTAAAGTGAGGAAGGGCATGAACTGGATGACCCCGGGGGATCCCTTGATGATACTGATGATAATGAATGATATTGGCCCTGGGAATCTATTGGCTATAAGAAGAGAGCCCATCCACCTCAGGGGCTGGCCCCCAGAAATTTTCTTCTGTGCCTGGAGTCAGGCCTCAGGGGGTTGGGCACACACAGAGAGTCTTTCACTCCATTGTCCTTTCTCTTTCCTCAGGCTACAAGCCTCCTAACCCACCTCCAGAGACTGGTTTCCATCGATATCAGTTCATCCTGTTTGAGCAGCCAGAAAAAAGAAAACAGATCACCCTGAGCTCCAAGGAAAAGGCTAACAGAGGTAAGACTTCCAGCTTGACCCATGGCCCAGCCACAGCAGACCCCATTGGGGTAATGAAGGCCTTCAGGCTCCACACCCATAAGCCTCTGAAGTCCCACTTGAGGCAAGGGTGTCCCTTCTCTGGAGAAGCTCAAGGCCAGACCAAAGAGGAAGGCATTTATTTAGTAGAGTCATCGTCTCCCCAAGAGAACAAAATCCGGGAACCAAGAGCATAGCTTTGAATGGAAACGTGGAATGAGAGAGGGAGTAATCTCCCCTATGGTCCCCAGTGACATGTACAGGCAGCAACCCTACAGCAAGCACCCCAGATGGTAATTGCACCCAATAATTGTGTCTGATCTAGGCCAGAGGACTCTGGCATGCCTCCCCGATGGCTGCCAGATCTAGTCACAGATTCTGCCTCCTTGCACAACTCCGTGGGCAAGGCAAAGGCAGCCTTGAGCCCTGCCTAAACCCCAGCCTAAGCCCCAGCCTGATCCCCTACTCCCTTCTCCAAATGCTTCTGAGGTGCACACCTGCATAGACTGACAGCGGAGACCCCTCCATCCCCTCCAACCCCTCCATCCCCTCCAACCCCTCCTGTCCCAGGCCAGGGAAGAATAGAATCCCGAAGTTCCAGCAGCCACCTGACATAATCCGTGACCCCGAGTGAACTCTCCCTCTCCTCTCTGGGGCTTAGATTTCCATTCCAGGAAATTGGAAGAAAAGGAAGAAGAAGAAGAAGAAGAAGATTTCAACAGCCCGTCACGATGAGGGGGTGGGAGGGAAGGATGTAGCAGAAGGTAAGCCAGAGAGCACTGATGTCAATCATGGCAGAGTGGAGAAGTCCCACAAGTCAACAGGAGGGTGGCTGGAAGAAGCTGGCACATCCTCACTCTCTGAGAATCAAACTAGGTGTTCTCACAACACCTTCCCAGCCCCAGCCTCTAGAAACTTCCTTCTCCTTCCCAAACTCCAGCTGACGGGACCCCCAAAAAACGAGCCGTATGCCCTTTAGAGAAAGAATGAATGGATTCTAGGACATTAGCCACCAAGCAGAGGGTGGGGTTCCTGAGTCACTAGATTAGATTAGATTAGAATTCTGCCTTAGTTACTTTCTAAATGTGTGATCTCTGGCAAGTGGCTTAACTTTTCTAAGCCTTATCTGTGAAATGGGGGCTGTGAGATCGAATGAGACAATGTGTGTAAAGAACTTTGCAGACTTTAGCTGTCTATATTATTATAGTCAGCTGTTCTCAACCTGTTAACTGTTGAACCAGCTAGGAACCCTCAGCACCCTTCTGAGCTGTAAATGGGGATAGAAGGCGGGGTGGGGATGGGGAGGGAGAGCGAGTCACCACTGATACCCTCACAAAACACATCATTCACCTTTAACATCCCTGGGAAATGAGCATATTGTTTAGGAGTGTGGGGAGGAGGCAGGATGGGAAAGAGGCTGATTTCGCCAGAGCAGAGACCCTGTGTTGGCAAAGCAAGGGAAATAAGTTTACAGGAGAAGGAAGGAGCCAGATCACGGAGGACCTGGAAAGACAGAGGCCTTAGTCTTGGCTCGCTGAGCAAGGAAGTAAGAGAGCAAAGACGGGGATTCTGAAAGATTAGTCTGGCAACAGAAGGTAGATGGCAGAGGGGCAAGCCTAGAGGCACCAGACCGAGCTGGGAGGCTGTTACTCTAGCACAGGTGAGAGGTAATGAGGGCCTCAACTAGATCGGCTACAGGAATCCAGGAAGGGGTGAATGAGTACAGCCTATAGGCTCAGGGCCACCTGGGGCCCAGAACATGGCCTTATCTTCCTAATTGTCTTTTCATGAGAGAATAGCTTCAGGGGGATCCCTAATATGTGATGCTGTAACCAGCCCCTTATGTCTCCCACATTGCAAGTAAGGGTTCTGGAGACCAGAAGCGAAGGAAAAAAAGATGTACTGGGGTGGGGTGTGTGAGCGTCAGTTCAGCAGAGTAGATTTCGAATCACGAATCAGTGTTTTCAGATTCAAACATCTCCAGCTTGAGGAATGGAGAGCTAGAACCAAAGTGGGGTGACACACCCCCCCTTTTCTCAGACCCAGGTTAGAGGCAGGCCCACAGGAGCAATGTCCCAACCAATCCCAGACATGTCTGGGCACAAAAATTGGCTCAGCCACTGGGGTGCTAAGACCCCATTAAGGGCCCTGGAGGCAAGTTTGGATCCAGGCTGCGGCTGGCTGTACAAATTCCATCGTGCTGTCCCACTTCCAACATACTTTCTCTCAGTGCCCTCTCTCTTTCTTCCACATCCCCAAGCATACCCCTCCCCCAAAATGTGTTCTCCTACTGCTCCATCAGTCTCTCCAATACTTATGATGTCGGAAACCTTCCTTTACATTGGGGACTTTCAGAACAACTCAGTGTGGGTCAGGGAAGGGGGGAAGACAAAATGGTATCAGTCTAGGATCTAATTGTGAGAGCCTGAGCGCCTGAGTGAGAAAGGAGGGAAAATCTCTACTCTTCACTCTCACGCTCCAACCCTAACCCTCTGCCTTACTCTGTTGCACAGGAGCTGCCTTCCTAGATTCTGGGTAGAGTAGAGGAAAGAGAAGAGAGAAAGGGGCTGCAATGATTTCAGGCCCAGGGAACATTTGCAGGTGCCTCTGCCTTCCCACCCTAATCCCAATACCCACACCCCCACACAACCTCTTCCACTGACTGACTATAGCTCCCACCCCCTAAAACCCTGAGCCTTTGCTCTGACACTTGGCTGATCACGTCTCAATTGGCTTCCTCTGGACTTGACTCGGTATTGGTCCTGGATGGGGCCAGGCCTGGGATGCGCTAGATACAACTTATGCCCATCAAACTGAACACTTTAGAAGATAGGCCATGGCCTATGGCCTTCCCTTCCTGCAAAGCATTGCCCCAAATCATACCCCCACCCCTTCATCCAGTCATGCCAGCCACTCCCTCTCCATTTAGGCCAAGTGCGCTGATACTAGAGATCCCGCTAGGGTCTCCCAAAGTCCATAAGCAGATTTTCAGCCTCCAAACTTTCAAGCCATTTTTGGTGGTAGCTACGATAGAAACAACCTGTGAGTAAAATTCAAAGGCAAGTTGATAGGGACTTAATTTCTGTCAGAGGAAATAGCTTATCTTTGTATGTGCAGTAAGCATTTCTTGTTTGTCCAGGGATCTAAAGGAACACATTGGGAGTGATTTTGTGATAAGTTATTCTAAACTGTAAAAAAAATGTGCTTTTAAATGCTGTGATAGAAACAGCCTAAGTTGTTAAAGCATGAAGTACATAAGGGCTTTCTGAAGACCCCTGTGCACTCGTGCACACACACACACACACACACACATACACACACCCCTATCACTTGGTAGATGGTTATATTAGAAGGCTTCACCCAGAGCTTCTTTCATTCACTAAGGGAGTCTCTAAGCTACACTCCCCAGAAGCCGATGCAGGGGTTTCATGGAGGCACTAGGCGATGAGGCAACCCCAGTAGGTGAAGTTTTAAAACCCGTCCATTAGAGCAGACCTCCCCCTCATTCCCCTTTACATGAATTCTGTTTCCACCTTAAAGAGCCATTCCCCTCCTCCACCTCTCACCCTCAGGCTTCCAGAGAGAATGCAGTTCTGAGACTCTTCCCCAAGGAATGAGACTCTAGACTAGGTCTTCCCGAGCTTTTACAAAGCTAGATGGCACAGTGGATAAAGCGTTAGACCTGAGTTCAAATCCAGCCTCAGACACTTAACACTTACTAGCTGTGTGACCCTGGGCAAGTCGTTTAAGTCCATTTACCTCAGTTTCCTCAACTATAAAATGGGGATAATAACAGCACCTACCTCACAGGGTTATTGTGAGGCTCAAATAAGATAATATTTGAAAAAGCACTTCGCACAGTGTCTGGCACATGGTTGATGCTGTAAAATGCTTATTCCCTTCTCCATGGGTGTGCATTTCTGCCTCTAGAATTTGTGCTCTTGAGAATTTTCATTTGTGCACTGGTCAACTATCACCTTTTATTTAGAAACTTCTAGAAGACCTTGATCAGCCTTGTCTTCTACTTCCTTTTTCTCCCCCTATAGTGTCTAATGCTGTGTTCACATCCACAAACATACACACACACACACACCCTTTCTCATTCATAGACTCACACACATTCTCACACCCACACATCTATATAAACATACACAGCCCCCATGTTCTTCCTCAGCCAACTGTGAGATTCTGCAACTTTTAGGAGCTGAAAAACCATCCCCATGAATGAAAATTTCCTTCATTGCCATCCTCTTCCTCCCTGACTCCAAAGCAAAGAGATTGGAAGGGCCCAGGTAACAGCCCCACCAGTAATAACCACAACTCAGTAATAACCACAACTCAGTAATAACCACAATCTTATGAAGAGCTTTCTCAGTAAGCACTCCATCTGATCCTCACAAAACCCCATAAGACAGATTGAATGGGTTGTCGTGGATTCCATTTGACAGATGAGGTAACTTCATCCCTGAGAAACTGTGCCTGGCCAGGGTCACTTCTACTGAGCCCAGCTGTCAAAAAGAAATCCTTTCCCCTCTCCCTTCCCTAACCTTCCTCCTCACCCCAATGAGCAAGTGAGGCTTCCCAAGGGTGGTGATTAACTGACCAAAAGGAGTCTCAGCTGCCCCAAAGCTCATCCCTCCCTGGGCAAAGTCTGTGGCTGAGAGAGCCCAGAGAATCCACCCCGGGGAAATCACCCACCTGCCAGCCAATGGGGCTGGGAAAAGTCCCAGGAGAGAAAACTCCAAATAAGAGAGGGGGCTGGTGAAGGGCCCCGGGGTGCACGGTTGGGTGATCTTGGGCAAGTCCCTCTGGGCCTCTGCATCCTCATTAATGAAAGGAGGGTGCTGGACTAGATCCTTTCTGAGGTATCTTTCAGCTCTGACCCTCCTCTCCAGGAGCCCCACTCTACACAAGCCCGAATTTGGCTTTATCCATCCCCTGACAATCAAACAGGAAGGATGGGATGAGACTTGTCAGGCACT